ACCTGCTGCTGCACTACAGTGGCTACAGTGTCATTGTTAGATGCACTGGGAGCCTGTACTGACAGACCTGTTTTCTGAGATTCCTGTTATGGTAGATGTTGCTGCACTGCAGTGGCTACACTGTTAGACAAACTGGGAGCCTGTACTGACAGACCTGTTTTCTGCAATTCCTGTTGTGGCACCTGCTGCTGCACTGCAGTGGCTACAGTGTCACTGTTAGACGCACTGGGAGCCTGTACTGACAGACCTGTTTTCTGAAATTCCTGTTGTGGCACCTGCTGCTGCACTACAGTGGCTACAGTGTCACTGTTAGATGCACTGGGAGCCTGTACTGGCAGACCTGTTGTTTGAAATTCCTATTGAAGCCTAAGCCCTCAAGGCTGTTGGAAGTATCTTCTGCTGGCGTCTGGGGGAAGGTGGCGGATTACTGCCTTTATAGGCTTTTCAGAATTTGGAGAGAAGGTGAAATACTGGAGATTGTTTTTCTCCAGGTAGGATTTCATGGCTGAATAGTCTGTCATTTCTTTTGTTATGATACGAGTTCCATTTTGTGTGTTTCAGAATTTGTACTCTCCTTTGACATGTTCTTTTAGGTCACTTTGGAGTTGAATTAGGTTTATGGTAGTAGTCATCACTATTGTTGGCCGCCTACATGATTTTCTGGGAGTCTCCTGCTCCATTAGATTGTTCTCTGTTCCAGTAGTCTCCATGTCCATGTCATTAGTTGTGAAGTGTGTGAAGAAGTTGCAAGTTGGCACTGCTTTTGGAGTCTGTTTGATAGCTGTGGATATTGGGATTGATTTGGTCGTCTTCTTGGCTGTCTCTGAGGTATCATTAGAGATATGCCTCTTGCATGTCTTTACTTCCTGGAAGTTGTCATCCTGGGCTGTTGATTCCAATGAGGGTTTGTTCATTGCTCCATTTTGTCCTGCCTGTGCATTCCCATTCAGGACGGCCTGCAGTTCTTTCAGTGTTATCGTGTACATGCCATAGAGTGCGCTGAAAAGCGGCTTCCCGTGTAAAAACTTGCAAAATTTTGCTCTTTTTTTTTTTCTTTCTTTTATTCAGCATTCCATAAATCCTTACATGGTCAAAACACCACGGATATAGAAGTAGTCAACATGAGTAAGCATAATTACATACTGCATCACATTTGTGCAATGTCATAACAGTAGCCATATATAAATATTTACAAAAACATGAATACATGAATACATGAACATGGATATAGAAGAAGTCAACTCTATTCTCCTCTGCACTATTTACAATGTTGTCCATTGCGAGCTTTCCCCCACTCTAGCCGGTGGGCGTTTGGTAAGGTTTTCAGTGTCACTGACCACTTTTTGTACCTGTTGTACTACAGAAGCTGCTTCTGGGTACTTGTTTGTTATGGCATGCCATTCAGATTTCAGAGTTGATAGCTCCTGTCTCCAGTAATTCTGGAATCCCTGTTCTGGCACATCCGCCATCTTGGTGTACACTCAGATTTACAGTTTCTTTGTTGCTTCGCACAGCCGCAGCCAGGCGGCAAACTTCATTGAACCTGCTTTCACCAAATGGGAGTTGGCCGTAAGCACACTATATAACATGAAGTCCATATAAACCACTCTGTCCAACACACATTTTATTCAGTTCACTAATTACAGTCAAACCTTGTGTAGCTGATTTATCTGGAAGGCAATTTAATATCTGTGGTTTCAATTCAAAACCTGTTTTGTAGTACACACGACAGATCACTCTGAATTCACTCCTCACTCCACTCACTGCTCACTAATCACTATCTCAATACTCAGTCTCAGCTGACTCTCGATCAAGATCACCTCCACATGGTAATATTATTATTCCTCTGTTGACTGTCTTCTAACTGTACCCTTTTATAACCCCTCAGCATGGATGCCATGGAAAACACTGTCTTGTATTATTAAGAATGTGTGTTTACTGGTCCATTACCTATAAACGGATTTGCTATTGTCACATCCTCATTATTGTGGAAATGTGTTTACTGACTCATTGCCAAGCAGTGGTTATACACGTCACAGTATGTACAATAAAATTTGCGATAAAGCATGCACAGTCCTGAAAATAAGTGGAAGGTGAAAATGTTATGCAAGAAACCAAGTCCATGAAAACCAGTGCATAGGATCAATTAGAGAATATTGTGAAACCCCCTCACCTGAGGATGGAAACAGATCCAGTTTCTGAAATGCTGTATTCTCTAGTTTTTAGAATGCTGGACAATGGACAAAGTCCAAAAACCAAATAATTCTGAGTCAGCAGTATCAGGGATATCAATGTAAATAGAGAATGATGTAAAATTAAGTTATATTAATTTTTAAGCTAAAATTGCCTGTACTTATGTATGTAAAATTTGACTTGTTCTGTATCCAAAGGTACTAACCTACTTAGGATTTATAGAATGTAAATAAATTCAATTCAATTCAAACATTCATTATGGTCTGAAAACAATTTTGTCTTCTTCTGGCTGATACATTACTACCTGTTTTATGCTTTCGTGCTTATTTTAACTTCTGTCTGATTTGTATTTCTACTCTGTTTTATCTTTTTATTCTTGTTGTATTTTTGACATGTGTGTAAGACTACTTGTTTTATGCATTTGTTCTTTATTCTGTAGCTGATAAGTGTATCTGTTTTATGCATTTTTTGTCACGTTGCTCTTTGTTTTATGTGTTATCTTCGCATTCTGTTTTATGAATTTATTATTTTGTCACTCTCTGTTTTATGTATTTGTTGTCCTGTTGCTCTCTGTTTTATGCATTTATTCTAAGTATATCTAGCAGCTGATATATGTAACTACTTATTGTATCTTCTGCATGATATGTATGACAACTTGTTCTGTGCACTGTTCTTGCTTTATCTCATAGCTGATATGTATAGGACTACCTCTGTTATGCATTTGTTTTTATTTTATCCTGTGGCTGGTATATGTGACTACTTGTTTAATTTATTTTCTTATTTTATCTTATGGCTGATGTATATAGGTATTTCTTTTTCTTGTTTTATCTGCTTGCTGATTTGTATAAGACTGCTTATTTTATGAGCTGTACTTATGTTATCTCTAGTTTATCCCTCACAGAAAAAAAAACATCCAAAATGATTTGCTTATTTTTACAACAGTTCGATTTATGTAAAAAAAATAGTGGTAAAGCCTGCTCTCTGCCATTTATTTGTTTAGTATATATACTATATACATTATGCTGTTGGAAATCTGTTCATATCTATAAATTTATCTTGATGTCCCTGAGTGTATTCACATTTGACTGCGGGAGAGACATCTTTTGATGAAATTAGCAGCCACAAGAAAGAACATGCACAATGTCCAAAAAAAGAAAGAAGAAGGGCACTGTGTTTTGCTACCATGATCATGATGTTGGGCTGTACCTGCAGAATGTTTTGAGGTTACTACATTGATCTAAATTATGTGGTCATATGGAATGACTATTTTACTTATCTGTAAATAATATAATGTGTGAAGTCAAATAAAAGACTGTTTAGAAATTTAGCATATTTAAGGGAAGTACTTCATTTTGATTGTTCAGAATTTAAATGCCCACAGCAGAATAGAGCGTGTATGTGTTCATATGTTATGCTCTAGACAGAAATCAATCTGTGCAGAGAGAGAAAAAGGATATTTGCCTTATCCCTAGATTTTTAATTGTGCCAACTTTGTAATTAGGAGATATCAGGTTCAAATCCTGGCTGAAACTAGCTAACTTCCCCAAAACCCAACAGTGTTATGGTTTTACTCAGTCTTTGCAAGTGATTGCTGAAATAACACTTTGTACGTAGGCGAGTCAAATGAAAACCTTAAATATTTTTTTGAGTATTATTTATTGTGCACAAGTGGTGCAAAGCTGTATCACTTTTCAACATAATCTCCCCCATGCTCAATGCAAGTCCTCTAGCGCTTACAAAGTGCATGAATTCCTTTAGAAAAAAATTCTTTTGGTAGTCTGCGCAACCACTCATGCACTGCGTGGTGTACCTCTATAGTGTCACTCGGCGGTTTTCCCTCACTATGGCTTCAACTGCTGCAGTGTTCTCTGGAGTCACAACTCGATGTGCCTGACCCAGACGAGGAGCATCTTCCACTGAAGTCACACCATTTGCAAACTTCCTACTCCATTTGTACACTTGCTGATGTGATAAACATGCATCACCATACTGAAACTTCATTCTTCGATAAATTTCAATAGGTTTCACGCCTTCACTACACAAAAACCGAATAACAGAACGCTGTTCTTCCCTGGTGCAAGTCTCAAATGGGGCAGCCATCTTATACTGGTGCTGTGACGATGTTCGTGCATCTGCACTATTCTGCAACCTACAGGCCATTCTGCATGCTGTTTGTAGCACACTTACCAACTTACAGGATAATGGTGCGAAATTTCGATTTTTTATTACAAGTTTAAGGTTTTCGTTTGACTCACCCTCGTATTAGGCCATAACATCTTCCCATAGCTCTGATTACATCAATACAGCGTATCTCATTTGGTGCTGCATACACCTCATGATTGGGAAGACATAACCAAACAGTTGATCATTCCAGAACATTTTTTAAGGAGAGGCAAGAATGCTGAACCAGTTTAATTTGAAATTTCAGTTGTTCACCTAACTTAGAACTTTAATATTATCAGTTTTATGGATGATTTTTTTTTTAAATTCCTGACACTACAAGATGCAACAGCAACAATTTAACCTAAGTTTTGTGGGAGAGAGATTTTATCTCCCTGTTAATTTTAAATATACCAGTTATTCTGGAGTCTTTATTTCTTGTTTGATTTATAATTTGTTTGATAGTTTTCATACTATACTGTAAAAAGATGAGTGTAATACAAAATAGTTTACATTTTAACACAATGTATGGAAGCTTGCTATAGTTTTGACATGTGTGAGCTGCGCCTGTTCCATCAGCCAGAAGATTCTTATAGCTGATGGAAGTTCAGTGTATAACTGATGCTTCTGTGTGTTTTCTGATTCAGCCATGGGCATCAGTATGATTGGTGCCTAGTTTTTGTGAAGCCAGATATGAATGTTGTGCCAGTGATGATCAGCCTACTGGTATCCTCACATTTGTTAACTTCATCAGCAATCCAAAATGACAAATATATGAGGTGTGAACAGTAGTAATGCTGTTCAGTGTTGCACAGTGAAGTTTTGTGGTGATAGATTTTTTTTTTAAAACATGGAACATTTATTAGGGTAATTCCTTTGAGACATGGTCATGGTCATTAGCAAGAAGCAAATATTTTTCCATTATACTTCAATTCTTTATCTAGAAGAGCATTTGTGCTTGTTCGTTGAACATCGTGGTTCGGCTTATTTAGTGTATGTGCAATAATTCCCTGCCAGCAGTATTACATCACAGATTATGAACATTCTCCATATCACCATCACCTTCATTTCCACGTAACTATAAATGGACTACACTGTATAACTGTATTACTTTTGTATTGTTGAATCTACAGGTGACAATATTCCTAGTATAAGAGAAGTGCTTGATGAACCAAATATAAAGTAAAGAATATGAGAAGAGAAAAACCAGTTCAATAATTGCATTCCATTAAGCTAAAAATGGGATCTTTTTTTGCAAGTCAGTCGAAATATAATCTTATTTAGTGTCCATTGTTTATATTCTATCAAAATTGTAAAAGTGTTGCAATTCTGATGGAATATAAACAATGGACTCTACTATGAACAATTGCAATGGGATGCTGAAATACAGAATCATAATCTGTAATATTCTATTATTGACTTTTATACACATATTGATTATTTTAATTATTATTAATGCTAAGATATAATTAAGAATTGTTGATATATGCTAAAGTAATCATCCTAGTGCATACTGCTACTGTCATGAATAATTAAGTAAGACAGGAGTTATGAATTGTACAAGCTGGGAGTCTGCGTGACCAATCAAAACCAGTTATGTGTTCCTCACTGATTACAGGGGTTGACCAGGAAGAACTTATGGCCTCTTAAAGAGTACTATCTTATGAGTTGTTGTGCCATGTAGTCTGATGGAAGTTCATGAACATTTTGGAAGACCATTGTGAACTTCTACTGGACTATGCAGTGTCACTCCCAGAAGATAATGTTCTTCAGTCACAATTATCAGAACTGAAAATCCAATCATGGAGTGGTACTTGTGAATCACAGGCTAGGTACTTCTGATATTGCTGATTTCTTTAATTTATTTGTTAGTATCTATCCATATTGAACTATGTAGCAAATTCATTTCCTTGTCTGAGGACTACTATTTTGTCAGTCACCCTGTGTGCTCATTCAGCCTGTTTTATAATTGTAACATTTGTGGGAATATTATATACTTTTGATTTTGTGAATGCTAGGAGCATCAGAATAAAAATACCTAGGCTTCACCATCTAGTGGCCTCTGTCTGCTAGCTCTGAGGAGGAATACTGAAGTGCCCAAGAGACTATTTTGCTTTTTTTTTTCTTAAGTTATTAGTGGCTGAATAGCATAAAAAATATGGAATTGTAAGCAGTTCTGATGGAGTTAGTCTCTTAATAGAAGAAATTTTCAAATTGTTAATTGTTACACTGGTTTATATATGTATATTTGAAAATTTGTATAGAAGTGACTAACCTTGGAAAACACTGATGCTTTCAGATCATCTCTTGTGCAAGCTGTGGTTATTCACTGTGGTTATCTCACTTCTGTTAATTTGCATAATTATGAATTTACTGGTAGATTGTTACATATAATTTAAGATGACATTTATGTGGGTTTCCAGAAGACCTTTTTAAAGTAACAAACATGTTAACAATGTATTGTTTTTTTAACACATTTGGTCATGTAAAAAGCAAGTTAATTATTCTTGTGAAAATGATAACTATTTCATATTGAGGTAACATATTTCACTGTTCTGTAACTTCATGAAACTTTTATTGAACATATAGTTAGTTACAATATCGTAAGATATGTTGTTTGAATATGAAATGGTTTTCAGTAATGATCAACTGCAGCATGGCTACCTTTCAGGCTGGCATGGGGAAAATGTGCTTTCTGTAACTGCAGAGTAATGAATAGAAATGTGAGAGATGCAATGAAATGTTTACAATATTATATTTAAGCATCCTGTTGCACTCTAAACGATAAATGATATAAACTCCGTCCCAAGTGCAAACAATATATTATATGTCCTTGATCTTGCTCTCCTTTACACTACATGTCTCAGCCTCAAACGGCCATCATCAGGTGTATACACTCACGTTGCTGCTACACTGCACTTAGTTTAAAATTTAACATGTAAAAATACATTGTTCCTTTCCTTGTTGTTATGAACATCTACTTCGTTGATTATCTGTCTGGTTTATAGATTATTTTACACACGTTAATTTTGATTTCCCTGTAGTAGCACCATAAAATCTTTAGTTCTAATTTTAAAATCCTTTAAATCCTTTAAAAGTAGAACTAAAGATTTTATGGTGCCACTACAGGGAAATCAAAATTAACGTGTGTAAAATAATCTATAAACCAGAGAGATATCAACGAAGTAGATGTTGATAATAACAAGGAAAGGAACAATGTGTTTTTAAATGTTCAATTTTAAACTAAGTGCAGTGTAACAGCAACGTGAGTGTATACANCTGCTTCAGAAATTGAGGTTATATTGTAGTGAGTTCTTATGGTGTTGTTCTTAATTTTAATCACACTGGGGATGTATGTTTCGTTTCTCTTCCATTATATATTGAGATTTGCAGTGTAGTGATATTCCATTGTACTGAGTTATTGTATGTCATAATGGGAAATAAAAACAAAGCGTTAGTGATTGATGTGGGATGTTTTATGATATTCTTTGTATGATTCATTTTGAAGTGGCATGTATGTTACTAGGTTTTATATAGTGATGTATTATAGTATTATAAATATGTGTTATCTGATGTGGCACAATTTGAACATTCCTGGTAAAGGAATAGGAGACTATAATATGTGCATTGTTTCTTGGCTGACCCAGTTGTCTGCTGTGAACATGAACCTTTTGTAAATGATGTAGACTCTGAGCTGGTTTAAACTTCATGGCTACTTCATAGTAGTAAGCATAGTTATAGCTCTGTATCTGTCTGAATGAATATGATAGTACAATGAATTTTGTATGATTGATTGTGCAGTACTATACCTCTTGGAAATAGTTTTTAATGTGTTTCATTTGGTCAAAACTGGTATTGTTCAAAGTTTGTCACCCTGTTTTGTATTTTTATAACAATGATTATATTTATATTTACTCATCTTACAATTTAATATCAAATTGGTTACAGTGAAAGTGCAAAGCAATCAGAAATGATCACTGTGTTTTGATATCACATTCCTATGGAGTACCTATTGAAATTTCAATAGCAGATGTGGGAGTAATAAAATATAAGATTCTGCCATGATGGTAACTGCAGATGTGTGTGTTTGGTCTGTTGGCTGTACACATGCACCCATGCACTTGCACGCACATGGACTACTGCTTAGATTATTCTTCCACTCTGAATATCAGGGTAGTACTTTCCTCTGAAAAACTTATACCAGTCTACATGGCATAATATCTCAGAACATAATACTTTTCAGTTACTATGGAGAGACCCTCAGATATCCCATACAAAGTGAGTGTTTATATACCATAAAAGGGGTGGGCAATTAGATGTATTGCAGGCTTGAAACAGACACAAGTCAAAGTTTTGTGACCTAAGAGTAACAACACAGGCAATTAAGCACTAAGACCGTGATTGAAAGGAAAGGATGGGATACATTTTACATGTGTTGCTTGTATAAGTGTATGCATTTAGAGTGTTCAGTATTTTTGGACGCTGTGACAAAACTTTCTTTTCTTTTAAGTACCACAAAGTATGTTTCACATAATAAATTAATCAGAACAATTTTTAATCACACTGTGTCAGATGTTGAAAACTCTGCTTCCTAAGTACAGAACATTTTCAGCAGTGCACAGTGACATCTTATTAATTATAACTCCTCTAAGGTGACACAAGTGTCAGTGTTCTCTGATAACGAAGTCACCATCATCATGAACTTTATAGAGGTAGGTAGTTAAGTTCTGTTTCTATGAATCTTAAGATGGTCTTTGTATCTCCATTGTCACTTGGACGTCCCAGGTCATGGCATCCCTTTGATCAGTAACAGAATACCACTTGTGGAAGGCAGTCTCTTTCCAAATGATTCTCTGGTTTTGTTGGTATGCTTTTATCTCTTCAACTGTATTTGTAACTTTTAATCTTCCTCTGATGCCTGAATTTCTTTAGTGGTTTAATCCAGCAAATCCTAGCAGTGATCTCAGAAAAGCGTGTTTGTGCTGTACCTAATTTCTGTGTATTTGATTTGATTTCATTTTTGGGCTGTCTTTTGGTCTTTTATAATTGTAATTTCTGTGTGTTTACATTTGGAACATGATTTAAAAGAGAAGTTTTGTGTAAACATTTTTAAGTAGTTGGTTTCAAAAATTACAGATGTACGTAGTTACTTTTTTGTCATAGCTAGTTTTTGTGTGTTAAAAATTTCAGGTGCTTGTATATTTTTGGAACTGTACGGTAAAATTAAATATTTCTTTTGTTTTCTTCTCATTGACTTGTGATTTAGAAGATGACCTTCTCCACACACATTGTTGATCACTCTCTGTCTAATGTAGGGATTTGAATGCTTGTGAAAGGTGAAGATTTATGTACTTCAATCACACATTCATCTGATAACATTTAGAAGATGGGAAATACGAGTATAAATGTCCAAAAATTATTCTGAAATTTTCAGCGTTTCTGGGTATTTTATTTGTGATTAAATAAGGATGAATATTTAATACTATTAAGACATTCTTACTTATCCTCTAAAGTGTATGGGGTAATTGCAGACCTATGGGAACTGACTGTCTTTCTTATTGCCATGCCAAGATGATCTGGGAAGCAGTATCACATGAGTTTCCATAGCCTGTTCTAATGCAATATATGGGCAGTCCAACAACAAATGTCTTTGATATTTCAGGTTCTCATTGTTGTGACTATGAAGAATAGTGTCTTTTTGGGTGTTATGTTCTATTTATTAGAAGTGTACAGAAGTTTCTCTGAAATACTGGCAGACTTTTACCAGACTACATGGCATTCATTCTTCATATTACTCATAACAGCAATATGCCTCTTTTTGGTTAATTCTTCAATCGGTGGATATCTTTTTCTCCCAGTCTTCAGTTTTTTGTTCCCAGACATAAGATGCTTCCACAAAGACTTCTTTCATAGTATTGGAATTAAAATGACTGGATGACTCCTGACCCCTTGCTGTGGCATATGATGAAAACAGCAGGGCTAAATTTTACAGATGAGAGGGTATTTTGAGCTTCTAGTGTGAATATCCTAGAATAATGAAATAAGTATCTAATAATTACTGCAAAGAATAACTTGTTTTACTTCATTGTAATAAATTTGGATGTGATACAGAGCATTCTCTAAATAAGTAGAACTGTTCTTTGTTGTCTTCCCTACAAAATCAGAAAACCACTTCTCCAAAATTACCATGTTTTTTTATTTAATTGCTATGACATCCCTAGCAATGATGTTTATATTTTAAACAGCTTGTCTGCTCTGATGTTGCTTTTCCTGGTCTTTCACTTCTTATATAATTTCTTTCTTTCACATTGCTGAGACACAGTTGCAGTTCAGACATACAGACACTGATTGAACACTGGTTGCTTAACTTAAATGTCAGAATTGGCTCTCATTTGGTTGATTTTTGGGTAGAGTTGTGGTCTTTTATTGGGGTGGTCATTTCTATGCTATTATAAAATTGAGAAATATTGCTACAAGAAAGATATTGCTAGGGAAAGTGGTTGCTAATTATTGGTGATCATTGAGTGCTTTTGCTGTAAACACAGAGAGAGTATGTGAAGTTTTTTAAAGTTTAGTTATAGCTAATTTTCATTTCATGCATCATGTTGTGTTACAGTATTCAACCTCTTTATTACAACTGTCACAACACAACAAATATCAAGATCAGTGCTTAGTTTCGGCTATCAATAGCCATCATCAGGCAAAATACACGGTTAACATATATACACCACTGAACTGCAGTACTAGTAAAATTGGATACAATACTATTAATTATATAAAACACTTGACATAAGAATACAATAAATCAGATTATATAAAACAGAAGTTATAGTATAAAACAAGAATAAAATTCTTGATTGATGTTTTATATCATCGAATCAGTCATTGGTTTTGTAATTTTGTTGCGTTACCACAGACAAATTGGAATATTCTACATTTTGTGTATATAAAATTGTATAGGAGGCTCATGATGTAGATGTAGTAAATTAATGTTAATTGTTTATCATCCATGATATGTACGCAGTGTCCGTCTTTTACTGCACTCAATTTCACACTGCATACATATAATGGACGAAAATTAGTGCAACAGGACGCTAAAATACAACATTGTTAATTGTTTAGTCGGTGCTTCATCTCACAAAGTATTGTCTGCTCTGTAGGGAATGTAAACAATGAGTTACAATTAACATTAATTTACATCTACATCACGAGCCTCCTATACAATTTTATATACACAAAATATAGAATATTCCAATTTGTCCGTGGGAACGCAACAAAATTGCAAAACCAACGACTGATTCGATGATATGAAACATCAATCTAAGATATTAAAACTAAAATTCTGGACTGTATCCATCGTCCCAGTCAGTTGAACCACGACGTTTCGGAAGCTGGATCTGCTACCGTCCTCAGGTAAGTAAAATGGAGGTAAAAAAGGAAAAAAGTTGGAAAAAAATTAAAAGGTAAGGAGGGTTCTTATGTATCCTATACAGTTGGGTCCCTTAGATCAAGCTAATCTCAATCACTGGACAAACTGGCAGGGGACGAAATCAAGGGTGATCAATTCATAGTGGGAAGTTGTCAATGGGAGATAAAAAGACGAATCAAGATAAAAAATTATTGAAAGCCCCAAATCGTCTGGGACAAGGAGCAAGAAAAGAATTGAAATATTCTACAGGAATATAGAGTGAAGGAGAAAAGGA